TTAAATAGGGAACTTCATTGCTTCCCGACTTCTGCTTTGGAAGCCTTCACTCCCTGTATCACCTGACGTGTCACACACACACCTGACCCCACCCCACTCTGGCCACTACCAACCACTGCGTGTCCCTTCATGTACCATTTTGCCTGAATTGGATCCCATATGTTCATTCAGACCTGAGATATAAAAGATCCATTCTTTATTCTCTCTTTTTTTTTTTCTGTTCAAATACTCATATCTCCCCAGAGCTCTTCTAGTGAGGCTGAGCTGGAACACAGCCATGCATGCATGGAGCTAAACCCATGCTAAGTAACTGAATTTACCTGTGTAGGACTGGAATGGAGAGGAACATTCTCTGCCTGACACATTATGGGTGCTCCAGCAGTATTTGTAGAATGAATGGGAGGTCAGGACAGTAATTCCCTTGAAAGTGACACATTTGGCCTCTTCCCACCCCCATCATAGCTCATCTGCCTGGGTGTCCCAATCTAATTCTAGAAGCCTCCATCGACCTCACCCTGGAGATGTGCTGCTACCCTGTTATCGTGATGGTGGTAAAACTGAAATCCTTGCTCTAAGCACAGTTGAAACTGGCTGGAACTTTTAAAGGAATGACATCAGTGTTAAATGAATACAGTGATGCTGTGTGCGTTTAAATCTCAACTCTACCACCTTCTAGCCAGGTGGCCTGAGGCAAGTTTCTTAATCTCTCTGGTACTTCATTTCTTCTTCTGTAACATGGGGGCAAATAATCCCATATTGTAAGAAATAATAACAGAATTAGTCATTCAGCTGTCTCTCTCATGGTCTGTGATGGCCCAGGCACACAAAATAAAGGGAAGTGATGTCTGGTGGGTGTTCTTGTTTGGTTTCTGAAGCGAACCTCCAGCTAGACAGAGGCTGCTCATTCATGGTTCTTGGCCAGTTCACTCACCTCACAAACCAGATTCTCACAGATTACAGAAAGCTTTTCTGATAATCCCCTCATAAATTTTAGGGTCTTTCCTCTCCCTTTCCCCTTTTTGCTCTCTCCTTCCAAAAGCAGGAGTTTCCATTTCATAGACCACCTGGAGAAAGCAATGACTTGTGATTGCTGTTGGGGGTTCATTCCCGAGGGAGCACTGACATTTCTGCTCCTCTTCAGTGCCAAGGACATTGGAGAAACTGACTTCCTAACCCAGTCCCCACTGTCAGACTCCTCCTGGCTAGAGTTGAGAGAAATCCTTTACATGGGGCATTGATTATAAAAAAGGATCACGTCAATCTCATGTATTTTTACACCATATTTTAGCAGGGTGTCTGACCCGGCAACTAAGCATCAGAAGTGTCATCCAGAACAGTGGGATGGTGTATCGTCTCCAAATTAATGTTAGTGAAGTTAACTAGAAGGACTGTAACTGCTGGGCCAGGATTTCAAGGATGGACATGATAGCTGTCCCCATGTCCTTGAAAGTCTTTGACAGAAGTGTGTTAGGCTTATTCTGGGTAGTTCAGAAAACAAAACCAGTGTCAGTAGTGAAAGTTAAGGAGAGTCAGTTTTTCACTCAAGGGAAGAAATAGTTCCCAAATAGAGAAGTTAAAATGGTATAGACTTCCTTATCTGACCCAAGGCTTCATCCTGCCATGTGAATTGTAGAGACCACTTGTCCAAGCTTCCCAGGGCCTACTGGTTTTGGGTAATTTGTTGAATTAAAGGTGATTTGTTAAATTTATTTTTAAAATGAAATACAATTTGACTTTGTGTCTCTGTTCAACACATCACCCCATATTTATCTGAAAATAACTATCTTTGGTTAGGTCAAGCATACTGATTTTTGGTTTACCAACAATGGAGAGCCCTCTATTTGGTGGAAGTTTGACTCAAAATTCCCAGTTCTCAGATTCTGTGATAAAGAGGATGCTGAGGTGATTTGGTATAAGGAAGTACAAGGAAATCATGTGGAGAACTTTCTAGGCTCTACCACCTTGTCATGTCAGCTTTGGCCCAACAGAAATCTATAAAAGTCATTGGAAGAGAAGGAAAAAAATAATTGGGAACCAGTGTGAGGTTCACTTATTGAAAACCTACAGTGCCTGTCAGCAAATGAATATATTTGCAACTCATTGTCACAAAATATTAATTTTCTAATTACTAATTGGCACCAATTTTTTATATGAAAGAGCTCCTACAAATCAACAAGAAAAAAAAAAAAGACAGGAGTTGCAAATGAAAAGGAGGTGAAAGAAAAGTACAGACAGTACATGGAAAAAGAAATATTATCTCTTAAACATTTGAAAAGAAACATAGTAAAAGAAATTCATTTTAAAGTTAATTCAGACATCAGAGCAAAGATTAAAAAAAATGAAATTACAGTGAGAGCTAATACTTCTCAACAGAAATTAAGTGTTGGCAATTATGTAGAGAAAAAGGAGCTCTTGTGCTCTGTTAATGGGAATGTAAAATGGTGCACCTGCTATAGAAAACAGTATGGTGATTCCCCAAAAAATTAAATATAGAATTATCATATGATTCAGTAATTCTACTTCTGAGTATGCACCCAAAAAATTGAAAGCAGGGTCTCAGATATTTATACACCCACACTCATAGTATTATTCACAATAGCCAAAAGGTGGAAGCACTCAAATGTCCAAGAACAAATGATCAAATAAACAAAATGTGGTATATAGTGATATGTATAGTGGTCTATCATCCAGCCTTTAAAAGGAAGGAAATTCTGACATGCTACAACATGTATGAGTCTTGAATGATTTTGCTAAGTGAAAGAAACCAATCACAAAAAGACCTATACTATGTGATTCCCTCTGTATGAGGTACCTAGAGTGGTCAAATTCATGGAGAAAAAAGGTAGAAGGGCAGTTGTCAGGGGCTGGGAGGGAAGGACAGGGAGTTATTGTTTAATGGGAATAGAGTTACAATTTTACAAGAGGAGGAGTTCTAGAGATGGATGGTAGCAGAACAACATGAATACTTAATAGTACTGCGTACTTAAAAATGAGTAAGATATAAATTTTGTGTATTTTACTACAATGAGAAATGATTTTTAAAAACTGCAAGTGATTTTGCAATTTTTTGCAAAGTTGCCATTTTAACTTTCCCTATTAGTAAAGATCATGAATTAGAAAACATACTCTGTGCAGGAGCAATGTGAAAATAAACACACTCATGTTTTGTTGGTGGGAACATAAGCATAGAATCTTGGGGATGACAATTTTTCAATATCTGTAAAGATTAAAATTGGTCAAGTCATTCTATGTCAAGGAAGATAACATACTCTCACATGTAATTTGGCATACCAATAGCATTTTTAATGTAGCAAAATATTAGCAACCATGTAAATGTCCATCAGTAGGGGTTGGTAAAGTAAATTTTTGCCACCAATTGAATGCAGTAGAGCAATATGCAACTGCTAGAAAGAGAATATACCTGCTGATACAGAACAATCACCGAGGTGATATAAGTGTACAAAACTGTGTGTATAGTATGTTACTACTTGTGTTTAAAAATTAAAAAAAAATATGGCTCTATTCTTTCACTTTTTTGGCCTAAAATAACTAAGTCAAGGCAAGAAACTGGCAGCCAAAGTCACTCCACTTATGTCTATGGGGACAAATAGACACCTGGGGACAGGAGTAGAAGAAAAGACTTGCATTCCACTATTTTTCACCTCTACCCTTTAAATTTAGTATCATGCTGGTATACTCTATATTTTAAATTAAAAAAAAAAAAACAGTCTTTAAGGGAAGAAACATAAATGACATCCAGTGCAAAGCTCTGGGTGCTGTGGAGCAGAGAAACGGTGTCTGAGGGGCTTGGATGGCTTCTAAACAACCACCTGCAAATAAGAAATTTCTGCTATTGGATTGCATCTTCTCCTGGGTATTGGTATGAACAGGTCTATAAATTAATTTACCAATTAGGTTTTCCTTTTTACTTTGGCTGTGACAAAGCTACAAGCCAAATTTGAGACTCAGGCCATGAAATGTGGGTGGATTTCTATAGTAAGCATTTAGCATCCACTTTATACCTGGCTCCATTTAATAGTCCTGTATTTGGTTTGTTCTGCTCCTGTTTATAATGTTGGTTATTTTTCCTTATCCTCTGCTTCCTATAAATCACTCCATAGTCCTTTTAGTCTAAGTTGGGGTGAATGGGTGAGTAGAAAAGAGGGAGGGAGAGAAGGGAGGCAGAATGGACAGAGGTTATCAAGTAAGCCTGTCATTTTCCTCAATGCCATCATGTGGATTAAGTGTATACTACAGTGCACTGGTTCTCAAAGTGGGATCCTTAGGCCTATAACATCATCATCACCTGTGGTTTGTGAAACTTAGGTTCCACCCAACCTAATGAGGCAGAACCTCTGTGGATGAGACCCAGGAAACTGCTTTAACAGGCTCTCCAGGAGATTTTCAATTATATTAAAGTGTGAGAACCCCAGGAAAATAAAAAGAAAGTTTATTTCTAAACATATACTCTCCATTTGCTGCATCATACCCACTGTTTTGGTCAAGGTATAATGTAGCAACTATACTAAACAATATAACAATCCTCATTAGCTTAATACAATAAATCCTCACTAGCTTAGTTTTTGTTCATGTCACAATCCAGTATGGGTAGGTGTGGGATAAAGCGTTTTAGTAACTTATTCAGCAAGCCAGTTTCCTGTCAGAGTCAGGTTTTGCCGTCCTCTAGGTCTGAGCCTTCTCCTCTGGATCTCTAAGCTAAAAAGGCAGAGGAAGAGGAAAGAGAGAAAATTTGGCAGTCGGCTCTGGAAGTAACACCATCTTTTCTGTCCACAAGTGCACTAGCCAGAGCCCAATCACATGGCCCAAGCAACTGCAGAAAAGGCTGTGGAGCTGGGAGGAAAAGGAAATGGGTTTGGGAACATATCGCGAGATCTCTGCCACACCCATAGACTTAAGTGAGTCCCAAACTTCACTTGTCTTGTTTTGATTTTCGGTTTCATATTCTAATTAAGTCTTACTGTTTCTTTTTTGAACTCTAGCATTATGGGACTGAAGTATGCTCTCTTCGTGATGGTCCTCCTGATTGCTGGTAAGAACACTTTGGCTTTGTAATGTCCTAGAATCCTTCCACTGTCTTTGTCTGACCACTCCAACCCTAGGCCTGGGTCTTGAGTTTTACTTACTTTCTCACAGGTGTTGCACATCACCACATGCTAAAAAGATTTTTCTGGATAAAAAGGCAGCATCATGATGGAGAACAGGTAGCTCAGCTGACGGCAGGCCTTGCCTGGGGTGGAGACTCACCTCTTCTGTGCATCCTCCTCCTCTGCCACCCCACACCCAGAGGCCTGGATGCTGTAAGGTAGACTGGCCTGCCCAGCAGTGCTTGGGAGCCAGGAAAAGGACCCTGTCCTGACACCCCACGCCTGAGGCTTAGCACTTTTGTTTAATACATACTCCTTTCTGGTCTCTGTCCCCATTTCTGACATTCTCAGACTTAGACAATAGTTGCTGGGCTTCAAAAAAATCTCCTGCTGTTAGAAAGTTTGTTTCCATGTTCCCTACTTTCCCTCTCTCCCTCTACTGCTTTCTTCACCAGCCCACACCCATATATCACAGTTGTCACTGTTCACCAGAAGGATCCAGAAACCCAGCCCTGCTCCACCTACTCCAGTGACTTTCAGCTAGTTGTATCATCATTTTACCATGATACCAATGAGCTTCAGGGCTCCTCATATGCACAAACCCCACTCTGGGGCATGGTCAGGGGTCTTAGCAGTGTGGTCTTGTGCCTCATGCTTTGGAAAATTTTTGTAAGATATTTTAACCATACTAAGACCTCTGTCTCTTTGCACTGTGACTTTTCTCTCCATCACATTTTCCTCCTTGGAATGTTGGGTGGTGGTGTAGTGGCCATGGCATTTTGTTTTTGAATTCTGTATTTTTTCTTAAAGAGCCACTTTCCCTACAAAAGAAATTTTTAATCATCAGGCCTCACAAAACTTGAATCTTCCTTATTTACTGTTCTTATTTGAGTTTCAGTTTTTTGTCTGTAAATTGGGGTTGGCTAAGGTTCCTGTCACGCATCCTGTGTCTGAGAAAGAAGATGTCCCAGTGCTGATTAGAATCAAACAGGGAGGATAAACTGAGCCTACAGTTTGGTTATACCAGTGTGCAGGATATCCCTGACTAACTTGCCTGAAAAAAAAAAGCACACAAAGGCTTTTAATCTGAAGCTAGATTCCTCAGGAGATAGACAATAACCAAACATACCATATTACGTCCAGTCATGATAATTAGTACTGTGATAAAAATAAATAAATAAGTCAGCATAAGGAATAGAGATTGACAAAGATGCTATCTTCAATAGGCTGGTCACAGAAATCTCCCTGGGAGGTAGTATTTGGTAAAAGACCTATATGAAGTGAAGGAATAACTCTAAGACTGTCTGGAGGGAGAATCTTCTAGGCAGAGGGATAAATCTGAGAAAATACCTTGAGATAGAGTGTGTCTAACCTTTTAGAGAAATGGCAAGTAACCTGTGTGGTTGGAGCAGAGTAAGAGAAAGAGTCTGAAAGGCATCAAGGACCAGATTACATGAGATGGTGTAGGCTCTGGGAAAGACTGAATATAGTTGTCAATGTAATGGCAAGGAAGAAATGTGGATATATCATCTAGGTCATGAAAACTCTTGAGAACAATTGCCTCCCTGTAGCAGAGACTCTCTCATCAGTAATTGATACAGCACAGTAAAGAAGACTTTATTCAAGGAGGTGATGTATTGAGATAGGCATAAAGACCACTGCAATGGGACTTCACTGTGAAGGCGAGATATTTAACTCCAAATACAGCATGGGCAAGTGGGAATGTATAGCCAAGGAGCAGAATGGGGGATCAGTGGAGACCTCCCCTTGCAGGCAGTTGAGAGCAGTGCTGTGAAGATGTCAGCAGTCTCTGCAGCATGGGTTCGATCCAGGCTGGCCGGCGAGGGTCCCACATGTCATGGCAGACCTCTCCTGTCTCGCCCACTGCTCCCCTCAGCAGTGTATTTCAGTCAGTCTGCCTGTTCTGTTCCCCACTCTGTCTCTGGTGAATCCTCTCGCCCTCCCACACATCTGGCCTGTGCCCTGGTTTCTTGTATAAATAAATAAATAAATAAATCTTTAAAAAAAAAAAAAAAAGAATGGGGGCTCAGTGGATGGAAAATTCCTAAGAAAACATCACAGATAAGAGGAGTTCCAGCTAAATTGACCTAATAGAATTCTTGCTAAAGCCAGGCAAGGATGGTCAGACATCACCCTATAGTTGATGGAGGATAAAGAACCTGGTGAGATATTCAAGAGTTATCAGATATAGATGGTGGGGAATTCTGATGAAACTGATGTAGGAGGATTCTTGCTAACATTGTATTTTATAAGGACGTGAATAGATGGGCCTGGGAGAAGGTAAGGAGCCTGCCTAAATTTTGATGAAGCAAAGAATCTTTGTCATAACCTAAAAAATAATGTTTCTAGAACTTCAGGTAAATACAAAAATGTTATCCTCTCATTATTCCTTTTCTTTGCTCCATACTATCTCCTCATCCTTCCTTTACCATTCTGGAGTCCAGCTCTGACTGCTATAGTTCTCAGCCACAGCTGTGCAGACCCTCACACAGGTATTTTGTACAGATGATTCAGATGATCGCCGATCAGGGGAATCATTCACTGGAATAGAGGACAGGAGGTTCAAATACAGGGAAGACAGCACCTGTTGCTATCTAAAGGGTAGTATCCAGCGGGCAGTTGGATATGGATATCTGGAACCCTAGTGAAAGTGATGGGCTGCAGATAAGTATCTCTGAATTATTAGCTTATCCTTGGCAGTTGACTCCATGAGGACAGAGCAGGAAAATCAGAGAGTGTGTGGAGAATAAGGAGAAGATTAAGAGCAAGCACTCAAGGGCCTCCCCTGGTGGCGCAACAGTTAGTTCCCCAACACCCCCGCCCCAGGGTCCCACAGAAAAAAAAAAAGAGCAAGCACTCAAGAGAATCACCATTAAAGGAATGATCAGAATTGATCAGGATCACAGAGATTGGGAAAGAAAAATTTCAAGAAGGAGAGATTGCTAACAGTGTGACATTACATGGAGTGGTCAGATCAAGTGAGGACTGAAAAGAGTTCTGTTTGGAAATGGTGGGAAGTCACTGACAACCTTTGCCTGGGAAGTTTTGGTGGGGAGGTGGGGAATGGTGTATGGGGGTGGAGACAGAAATTGTTGCTTACTCCTTCAGGAACTTTGACTCTAAATGAAAGAGAAACTAAAAGCAGTAACAAAGAGGGTGCTGCTGAAGTAACTGCTGGGAGGGAGAGGGTGATAAGCAGGTAGGAAGCCCAGAAGCCAAGTTAAGTGGGTTGAGAAAATGACAGATTTGTAATGTCGCCACTCTTACCTGAATAACTTCCTCCAGGAATGCTTACCCATTCAGTTGTTAGAACGGTTATGAAGAACAAAAGTAGAGTGTTCTTGGGAAGAACTGCACAAACAAAGATGCATGTTTATTGAAGTTATTGGCAAAAGATTGATTGAAAAAGATGTACTATCACTGCCATCAAATAAGATAGCCTCGAGTCACATGTGACTATTACAACTCATGTTAGCTAAAATTAAATTAAAAAAAATTAGTTTCTCAGTCATACAAGCTACTCACCAAGTGCTCAATGACCACAGTACCTGGTGGCTACCATATTGGCGAGAACAGATAGAGAGCATTTCCATCATTGTAGAGAGTTCTTTTGCAAAGCGCTGTTCTATAGGTCCTAGCTGGGATAGGGTTGAGATTTTGATGAAGTCAATGAACAGAGAGATTGTTATCACTCATAGATGTAAGGATGAGAACATTTCACAGATGTTCTCAACATAGATGTAAGGAGAGTAATAATGAGAAAACCTTAGTGGAACATATCCTATGGGCAGAGATAAGTACTTTGAGATTTAAGAGTTTAGAGGAGCTGTTCTTGGTGATAAAGCTCATGGGTATGTCACAGGACAGGGCTGATGAAATAGTTATGGATGAAGATCTTTGAAGTGGAAAAGAGCAGAGAACTTTGAGACAAAGTTTCAGTGAACTGACTTCGATCCCCAGCCAGGGAGCAAATCTACATGGCATAGCAGACCTCTACTGCCTCGCCCACTGCTCCCCTCAGCAGTGTATTTCAGTGAATCTGCCTGTTCTGCTCCCCACTCTGTCTCTGGTGAATCCTCTCATCCCCCCACCTCTGGCCTGCACCCCAGTTCTTCTGTGCAAAATAAATAAAAATCTTAGAATAAAGGAATAATTCTTAAAACAAAAAAACAAACAAAAAACAATGGAATGAGACTTCCAGAACACCTGGTAAAGTTTTGGAAAAAGTTTAGCAGAAGAAGGAAGATTCATGTGTGCACATGAGCACAGTACTTTGAAGAAGAGATAGCCCTTGAATACGTAAGACCTGCATTTCAACATGGGAAAACTGAAGGGCCAGATGAGGTCAGAGACTCATAAGGTCAGCAGACTATAGCTTTTGTGTGACATCAGACATTATATTGGTGAGGAAGACTTCAAATATCTTTTGAAACAACCTCCTCCACTCGATCAGGGAAGTAGCCAAATGGAGTCTTGAGTGCCTAGTTTCTAATGTTATTAATTATAATTAATTAATGATATTAATTAGTTTTAACTAGATGCAGACCATTTCTATTTCCCAAGTACAGGGATAGGAAGAGAATTCAATGCTTACCCAGTAATGGAGTCCCAGTGACTACGTTACCTGGGTGTTCTGATATTTGGGATCATAACAGGAGAGACGATGAAGACAGCACTGAGGAAAATTCGGAGAGGGGATTAGCTTGCTGATCTCTGAGTCATGTCATGGAACCAGTGATTGATGAGGAACTATGGAAAGTCAGTTGTGAAATACTTTCAGTTCCATTTAGAATGTGCTTCAGAGTGATTTTCACTGCAAAGGGAGAAGAAAGGGTTTGGGGAGGGATAGACGGAAACAAATCTTTCCTGTCATTATCTTCTCTGCTCCACTCTGGAGACAGTAACAGTGATCCTCTATTGCAGCTTCTGAAACAAGAACTTTTGCTAAAATACACATTCTCTAGGTCTAGGATGGGCCAGAGAGTCTGTGTTTCTGACCACCCCTAGGTGATATCAATGCCTCTAGAACAGACCATACTCTTTGTTGGTAGGGAAAGAAGAGGCAGTTAGATTGGTGGAAAAAAAAGTCTCATAATATTGGGAAGAAGGGGGGCCTCCCTGGTGGTGCAAGGGGTTAAGCACAGCACTGTGAAGCTATCCACAGCCGCTGCCACACGAGTTCGCTCCCTGGCCAGCCAGGGAGCTACCCACATGATGTAGCAGACCTCTCCTGTCTCATCTGCTGCTCCCCTCAGCAGTGTATTTCAGTCAGTCTGCCTGTTCTTCTCCCCACTCTGTCTCTGGTGAATCCTCTTCACCCCCCATACCTTTTACCTGTACCCCAGCTCTTGTATGCATAAATAAATCAATCTTTAAAAAAATATATTGGGAAGAAGGGGCCTGGGTGAGACAATTAAATCCCTCAGTGAGTGGAGAGGGTGAGTGGGAAAGAGGGAGGTACTGTGAGGCTCTGCAGAGAAGCAAGCATAAATCAAAACAGAAGAAGACAGATAAGTCATTTCCAGGCTCAGAAGGCACAACTGACTGCTGAGTAATAACATAATGTTGACCGTTAACTGACAGAATTTTCAACTGCGTGTTTGGTTTCTCCATTAGGTCATCTGCCCTATGTCATATGGCAAATTGGTGCTAAAACCAGAATGAGTTACCCAGAGGTAGCTGCTAGACACTTTCACAGTAGGTGGCACTATTGCATTATCATTCAGAATTTAACAAAGGAGTAGTGAGGGTCCCATTATTGCCTTGTAAGGTAATTATCGAATACAGCAAATTTTCCTTAGTTCCCCCTTTCACTGTTCCAGGTACCCAAGTAGATTTTTCACCTCCCTTTATTATGAGAAAACATCTTGTTCAAATGTTGCATTTTATACTTCCAAGTGCTTTACAGGGTTCTCATGAGTATAATATAATAGGCAATAATTCAAACTCTCACTTATGCCTAGAGTCCTCTTCTCTGAGAGTTAAAGACTACCAGCCCTCTTTATTATGTGTTCTCATACCAGTGTGCACAGGGGTCAGTTTTGCTAAGTGCACACCACTGTTACTTGTCCTTCTACTCCCTCTTGGAATAGATATACATTGATCCAATCAATTTAATGATTGCTACCAGTCCCCAAAGAACTCCTCAAATGAAACCCCTCTCATCTCTCTTACTAACCTATTTTCCCCATTCCGCCATTACTATGTCCTGACCTGAATAATGAAGCTTTATTTAGATCCCACCCTAACTTCCTTCCCAAAGTGTCATTTAACTTCATATCAACTAAGAAACAGCATTTACCCCTCACCCTGCACTTTTCACCCAAAACTTCTTAACTTCTCGGCCAAGTCTCAAGTAATTCTATGACCCAGAATAAGTCCTACAAAACCCCTGTAATCAACCACATTTAAGAAGTAAGGCAACCCAAATCCTTTGCACAAGCCTCGATATGCCCATGGGGACAAAGCCTTTCTTTAAATTCTACCAGGTTGTAAAAATTTCCAGGGACAATGCATATTGGGAAGAGCAAGTTTGTGGTAGCTGGGGTTTCCCCATGCTCCAGAAGCACATTCAGACCTTCCCATCTTTGATTCATTTAAGCATTTCATTCATGTATCTTAAATGATATTTTATGACCACAATCCTAAAACAACCATTACACTTGCCCAGTTCTCTTTCTGATCCCTGAAGGAGCTTAGAGAGGTCAATAAGGATAAAGACTTTGGTTGATTATTGTGTTATTTCCAAACTATTTCATATCATTGGAATCAGTAGTCATGCAGACAGCTTTATAAAGGTAACTATTTGAGTTTCAAAGATATTTACTCAATGTGGGTCCCAACTACTGAGACATAATGAAAGGGGCTGATATCTATCTTGCTATGATCATCAAATATTGTGCTAAAGCAGGCCAAGGAATAAAGGGATAGGGAGGGGAGACCTTTTAGTGATGGTGTAGAAGTGATGAAGCCAAAGCTACAGGAAAAAGCATCAATCAGCATTCAGGTTATAAGAAGGTAATAGATGGGTGAATAAGTTCCCTGATTCTGCTGGTTTTCCCTAATCTGGGATTTGAAATCACAGACCCATAGTACTGGAAAGATTTTTAGAACAGTTAGGTAGTCCTCCCCTTCATTAAACAAGAAGGAAACTGAACCTCATAGTGGATGCAGTTTGCACAGGGCCTCACATTTAGTTAGCAGAGCCATGAGAACAAGCGTCCCTGAAGCTCATTCAGCTATCTGGGTGTACACAGAGTTCCAGAATTTAACATTGAGTTCTTCAGTGTCATCATTGATAAGGAAGTCTCTGGGATTGTATAAAGAGAAATTAGAATTAGAATTAGTTAGAATTTTACTTCTCTCTTGTTTATCCATCCCTGATGTCCACCTTTCCTTTTTTTAGACTCTGCTTCGGAGAGGAATCAGGCATATTTCGGTGACACCGGAGAGCTGCCATGCCGCTTTAAAAATCCTCAGAATATAAGCCTGAATGAGCTGGTCGTATTTTGGCAGAACCAGGATAAGGTTCTTTTTGAGCTATACGAAGGCAAAGAAAAGCCCGACAATGTTCATCCCAAATACAAGGGTCGCACAAGCTTTGACCTGGACAGCTGGACCTTGTACCTCCACAACATTGAGATCAAGGACAAGGGTTCATATCATTGTTATGCCCATCGTCTGCAGCCCAACGGAATGGTTCCCCTCCACCAGATGAATATTGTCCTATCAGTTCTTGGTATGTAGTCAGTGTGGGGCTCAGATCCCTGGCCTTCTCAGCAGAGACTGCAATAACCAGAGAAATTTGGCTGGGGCTGGGGGGGCCTGTGGAGAGAAGGCAGGCATCAGCCATTTCTTGGGAAATCCATTAGAAGGGAATGCAGTTTGGGAATAGGGAACTGAAAGTCCTTTGTATTACATTTTTACTAAAGATTTATTTTTATTTATTTATGCATAGAAGAACTGGGGTGTAGGCCAGAGGTGTGGGGGTGAGAGGATTCACTAGCGACAGAGTAGGGAGCAGAACAGGTGGATCTACTGAAATGCACTGCTGAGGGGAGCAGTGGGAGAGGCAGGAAAGGTCTGCTGCTCCATGTGGGTCCACTCCCTGGCTGGGGATCAAACTTAAGTTGCAGTGGCTGACGATAGCTTGATAGTGCTGAGACTTTAACCCTTGTGCTACCAGGAGGCCCATCCTTTGTATTTTTTATATAGCATATATAGCCGTAAAAATCTGCTTTGGAGCGAAATAGAGCTAGCCAAACAAAGGTAACAAGGCTAAGTGAAAGCCATGAATAGTTTGGTCTTTACTAAGTTTATATAACCAGATAGACCTCCACTCTTTCTTACATTCATTTTCTCCTTTGGTCCATGATTTCTCACACTCCTATCTTTGCCTAAAACTCCTAGCGAGGGTGGTAGCCGACTGATTTGGGTTTTCCCTTCCGTTTCCTAGAGGCTGCTTATGAGTTATTTGCTGCCTAACCCTGAGCTGGGTAGGCAGAAGGGAAAAAACCCGAAGGCACATAACTAAAAAACCGATAAACCAACAACTGTTTCCAAGTTTTGAAACACCTAAATGTCACCACAGATTTTTTTTTTAATTATAATATAGTATATAGTAAAGCCAGGGGTTTTTTTGGTGCACAATTCTGTTAATTTTACTTACATATTGGTTTATGTAACTGCCACTATAACAGGATATAAGACATTCTCTTATTCTTTTATCTATTTTTTAATTTCATTTTTATATTCCCCATACAATTGCAACCCGCTTATTTTGACCCCAAACCCTCCTTTCCCCGCTCCCCCCCAGTGTGTCTCTGGTTCATAGTTGTTTATTGATTTTGATTTTTTCTTTCTTATAGTTATTCTTTTTCCTGGTCCCTTATTTAGGTTTTCTAGATTCCTGCTATGAGTGAGACCATCCGGTATTTTTCTTTTTCTTTCTGGCTTATTTCGCTGAGCATGATCCCTTCCAGCTCCATCCATATTGCTGCAAATTGCATGTAGAACATTCTCTTATTCTAAAAAAATGTTTCCTCATGCCATCCTTTATAATAATACCCTCTCCGTATCCTTAACTGTTGCCTTGCATCCATAGTCTTGTCTTTTTTGAGAATGCCCCATACATGGAGTCAACAGTGAATAGCCTCTTAAGATTGGTTTCTTTTATTCGTCACAATGCCTGTCAGATTCATCCAACTTTTGCACATATCCAAAGTCTGTTCCTTCTCATTGCTGAGTATCATTCTATTGCTTTCCATTGAACCCATGGAAAGACATTGGTTGTTTTCAGTTGGGATTATTATGAATAGAGCTGCAAGGTTTGTACAAGGTTTGTGTGAATGGAAGTTTTCATTTCTCTAGGGTAGTTTCACAGGAATGGGATGACTAGATCCAAGTTAATTTTTTATGAATCTGGAGAAGATAGATCAACACTGATTCTAAAACCACAGACTAAAGCAAAAGCAAAAGTAGAAATAGAATGGAGAGTTGTTCCCTTTAAACCCTGTGTGTGGTTGTGTGATTCAAACCAAGCTGCAGGGCTTTTGCAAGATTTAAGTGCTAAATCATTGTTTTCCAAGTGTGACCCGGTACCATAGAAGAATGTGATGTGTTTTAGGTGGGACACAGACAATAATTTTTTAAACAATTTTATATTTATTTTAATATGTATATTAGGAAAACTACTTAAACCATTACTTTATCATATACTATAGTATATGATGAAGACATCTTGACAGTTATTCCAAAAACCAGTATTCTGAATTTCTTATTGCAAATTCTCTATCCACTCACTTGCTTGGGTTTCTGGAAGATAAGACCCAGACCTAGCCATTGTCTGTGTTCCTGGTGGGACTTTAACCTCAATCCCTTTCTGCCCATTAGTCTGGCAAGGGGAGTATCCCCAATTGAATGCTTGGGTTCTAAAGTTAAACCACTTCTCCTTGTCAAGACTCTACTCCCTAAAACAGTGACCTCTTTGTTTTCACTAGGTACAGCCTCACAAGTCTCACAATACATGTAGCTTATTGGTATATAAGTTTTTGGTAACTCAGTTTCAGCCCTCCTGTCACTCAGAGTACACCCCTTGATTGGGTAAGTAGATAGGTAAGCAGGGTAAGCAGGAAGTAAAATGGCCCTAAACTCCATTCTTGAAAAATAAATATGGGGTCATTATGTGGTTCTCGCCATGGGCTGAGCCCACCCTTTAGACAATCATAGGCTACCAGGTATGGCCCAGGTGAGTTCCTTGAACAGGTACCTAGTTTTTGGCTGTTTTCTTCTAACTATATCCAAAGTTGGATTGATTACTTTTTATATCTCTATTCTTTCAGCTAACTTCAGTCAACCTGAAATAATGAAAATTTCTAACGGAACAGAAAATTCAGGCATCATAAATGTTACCTGCTCATCTAAACAAGGTTACCCAGAACCTATCAGAATGTTTTTTGTTATAAAAACAGAGAATTCATCTGACACATCTGAGGCTGAAATGAATAAATATCAAGATAATGTCACAGAATTATACACCGTTTCTGCCAGCCTGTCTTTTCCAGTCCCTCCTGAAGCAAAAACTGTGAACGTCTCCTGTGCCCTGGAATCTAAAGCAACAGTGGCAATGCTTTATTCCTCATCTCTCTCTATAGGTAAAGCTGCTTCCCAATATTATTTCTTCCATCAGGTATTATATACAAATGATTAAGGTAGATCATCCTGCTTGCCAGGGTACCTTCAACTGGGCCATTTTGTCATACAATTAGGGGGAACCCAGAGAAAGGACGCCTGCTTCATCTGAATGCTGTAACGTCCAGAAAGCTATGAACCTAAGTTGCACTTGAGGAAGCATGATGTTAGCCCTGAAACTGACCCAGTCATCTGGGCTATGTTTGCTTAGAAGATTTGTTAAAACATTGACACACGTACACAAACACACATACACACACAAATATACACACATACATACAACACATACTGTGAGTACAGACCATTCTAGACATTGTTAGCTAGAGGAATGAAAACTAAAAGGTATAAGCCATATTCTCTGCCCTTAAAGAGAATTCAATAGAATCAGAACTCAGTTATGTACACATATGGAAAACTGGAAGTGAAAAAGATGAAATTGGAGTCTAACTTATATCCCATGGAAATATGTAACTAAATTTCAGACAAGAATGATTGATAATAAGTTTCATAGGCATTCAGAATAGGCAGTTTCTTGAGGATCGGGGAAATCTTTCTAAAGGAAGTAAGACCTTACAATATTATCAAAGAAATAATTGAGCTTAGTAAGTGCAGTGAGGAGATGACAGATCCTCACATATGTGATGATTTCCTGAGCAGAAAGAAAAATCCTGAGACAGCATCCAGACTCAGAAAGTAAGAGGACATAGGCACTGGCAATGGTGCCAGGCACCAGTATGCATGATTCATGGAAAGATTCAGAAGTAGAAATGTTTGTGATGTGTTGATGATGTAATATGGGACTAATCCAGCTGGGGCAAAGTCTTGAAATTCAGCAATATCTGTTAAGAGGAGCCTGTCATTTGTAAGTCCCAGCTTCAGCCTGGTGGGAATGCAGCCATATTTTAGATTCCCTTTGGAAGAACAATAGCTGCAAGTTTCTCTGCTGGAATGAAGGCACTCTGTGCCCGTGCTGCCCCATCACTGCTTGTTCTAATCCTGACCCTGACCCTGACCCCTCCCCCACCTCTGGTCTCTTGGTTCACCCCCTCCTGAGGCTTCCATCCAGCTCCTTGCCCATCCTCTGGCTTTGCTGCCTTCTCTCTTTTGGTATCTCATTGTTTATATATAACTTGGCATACGGAAACATTCTTAGGCAGCACCCAGTGCCCATCCCCCTAGCTAGCATTACCGGTGGGTCAATCCTCTCTCCTGGTGCTGATTTCCTTTTACTCAGACTCTTCCATCTCTGAGAGTTTGATAAATCATGAGGCCACCTAGCCTGTCCTGATTGCTTCTACTGTAACCCCTCTCTTGGCCTGATAGAAGCTTCTCCCAAGCTATTCCTAAAGTTCAGCACCTTCTCAGAGCCACATCACTAAACATGACATGTTCTGCAGCTCTCTGCCTCTCCCACAGTCTATAGAAGAACAGGATCTGGCTACCACTACAGCCTTATCATGGCTAACTTTCCTGCTGCTTTTCAACTACCGTCAAATCCTTCCAGTTACCACCATCTTCAGAAATGTTTCAGTGCACGCAGTCTCAGGAAGATGGAGCTTGCCTTTGTGACCCTGTTTGATGACTTGATTAGACAGGTAGACCCTGAGGCTAAGAATCTTTTTGGGTGTCAAAAGGTTCAGTCTCCATGTTAATAAATACAACTGCCTTTACTGGGCATGCCAAATAGGTTCAAATTGACTTGAAGACTGTTGAATATAGCCTCAATGCCAACAACTCTTTTTCTTAATGCCAGGAATAGAGCATGTGCCCCTCAAATTGCAGCTAAATTAATGGACCAGCCCAGCTGGTCCTATTTTCCTATAATTTTGAGATTAACTACCCGAACTGTCCCATAAATATCTATAAAGTGAGCCACTCAGTTCTTAGTTTCCCCACCAAGAGTATTTTTCAACTTTCCAGACACTTAGGCACTCGTGCAAGGAAGTTAATTCTGGTAAAATCAGACCAGCTGATTCTGGCCCTGAGTCTGTAGGGCATGAAGACATTAGCAAAAGTCTTCTAGTGAGACATGCTGGAAGCCATGCTGGTGGAAGTCTTCTGAGACATCAATGGAAAAATAAACAAAACTAGAACTAGGAGATCTGTGGAGATTGTTTGTCCAAGTTAAAGGTATCTGGAGCCTAGTCTAGAGATGATATTGGATGGAGGAATTATTACAAGGTAAACTTCAGGACTTATGGTCTGATGGCCTAGGGGGCTAACGAAGCAGGTACTACACAGGGGACTATACATTCAGAATCTCAGTACAGACACCTTACTCAAAATCTAGAACCAAGGGCCAGATTGACCCGTCATTGTCATCCCCACCACTAAGAGGGAAGGCAGCTCAGTCCAGGCATTTGTCCAGAGGCACAGGCTTGATTCTTTGAGTGAGCCACGGAGGCCATGAGACTGCAACTTCCTTTGGCCTTAAGTTGTGGATGTCAGGCTCCTCTGGCAGTAGAGCCTTGGGGAGATGCTGGCATATAAATAAAGACAGCAGCAGTAATTATAAAGTTTTTATAATCAACCTTCCTGGCTGATTGAAAACGTGTGGTCATTTCTAGATGTAAAGCCATATGAACCACCGTCTGATCCAGACCACACCCTCGGGAGAGTGGCTATAATTGTAGTAGTGATCACTGTGGTTGTGATGGTGCTCTTTGTAATACAAAGGAAAAAGAAGAAGAAGCAGCCTGCTCCCTCTCATGAAAATGGTGAGTCAGTGCTTATCTTTTCTGCAGATTACCACTTGCACCTACTTCCCAATCAGCTGCCTTCAGGAGCTTCTTGGGGGAGCCCAGACTGACAAAGTCAGTGTTTGGAGGAAAAAGGTTTTCCCTCAGGGGGTGGAATCTTACACTGAGATTCAGCACTGGTACCATTGTAATGGATTTCTAGCGAAGGCAACTTTTCTAACCTAAGGTTTCCAGATGAACTTCAGGCTTGCAGATACAGCTGGTGTTATTACTTACTTCACGAGGTCTTTGTGCGAATTCAATGAAAATGATGAAAACACTTCTAAAAGTGCTCAAGCCGGATTGTTTGGTGGGGCAAGGGAAGGTTAGGTAACCATAAGATTCGGTCTACTCATGTCTAAAAGTCTAGGTTTCCTGAGAAGTAAGTTAGATGAATTATCACCACTGACTTTTTTTTTTTTTTAAAGATTTATTTATTTATTTTATTTTATTTATTTATACAAGCACTGGGTATAGTCAGAAGCACGGCAGGGTGAGAGAATTCACCAGAGCCAGAGCAGGGGGCAGAGCAGGCAGAAGGACCCAAGTACACTGCTGAGGGGAGCAGCGGGCGGCAGGAGAGGTCTGCGCGCCATGTGGGACCATCCTCTGGTGGCCGGGGAGCAGCCGGGGATCCAACTGGCACCGCAGAGGCTGCGGGCAGCTTTGCAACCCAGCGCTCAACCGCTGCACCACCAGGGAGGCCCATCACCACTGACTTTTAAAGAGTATTATTAACTCTTATTGATTACCAATTATTGTTAATATATATCCATTACCAAATGGACTGAAAATAATAATCACCTACAGTTCCATCAGTAAGAAACTAATGACTATGCAGGCAATAGTGCTTATTTTTCTGTGTGTAAATCTGTTATTTTCCATTAGTGGAGAAATATGAGGATTGTTTTTTCACAATTTGGATAGTGTCACGTTTACTGTTTCTAATTTTTTGGTACTAAATGTAGGCAAAAAATTTCAGTCATAAAATATAATTCTACATTTTAAATGTAATCATTTTAAATGGCTTTGAGATTTCATTACATGGGCACTGTAGTGGCAGGAAGGCACAGAGCAAGATCTCTATGATCCGAGCAGATGGATAAAGGAGAATCTTGGTACCCTTGGTGGCTTGTCAGGCTTTTATTGAGCTTTTTACAATGAAGGTGTTATAGGGCAGCCCCGATACAAAACGGGGTGCCTGACTGTGGGTCCTCACCCGCGCGCTTAAAAGGACTTATCAATGCTCTGCTGCAGGCACACGCGAAAGGTTAATAAAAGGTTTATTTACAAGGGAAGGGGAAATGAGGAAATGTACAACTCAGGGAGAAAAGTGGGAGACAACGTTTTAAATGCATCCTACCTGATCTGCCGATCTGGAATCCCAAATGGCACTCTGAGTGCTGGCCGCGAGCCAGGAGCCGTGAAGCCAGGAGGCGAGTGACAGAGCGAGAGACCCCAAGGCCCACGTGTTTGGTTTTTTTATACCCAACCTGGCTGCTTAACTCCACCCTCAGGTCCCAGCCACCTTCCCTTTGGTGGTGACGGGATTAGTCTTTCCCAATGTCTTGATGACTTTGGTCTGGAGTGGGGGTGGAGTCCACAAAGCCTGTATGGGATTAGCTCAGGACATCCTTTCCCCCTAACAATTGGGGCGGGGGCGGGGTGTGTGTGTGGCCCGGCTGGCAGGCCTCCCAGCCCCCAGCGAATCTTCACTCTTTCTGGCCTCTCTGGTGTTCTCTCGTAGTCTCTGCTTCTCCTTTGCTGCTCTGCTGGTTCTGCTCTCGTTCTCCTGGTTCCGTTCCCGTGACACTGCCCTTATAAGCCAGTCTCAGCCCAGTTATGTGTGCCTCTGCATGCCCACATCCTACTCCAGGTGCCCGCCAGCAGGCATGCATGTAAGGCCGCAGGGATCCATCATTGATGCTAATGGCGGGAGGGCAGAAAAGCCTGATACTGTTTTACTTACCCTACAGACACACCTTAATTTATAATGCCTGACCTTTGGTTGTTCCCATAGTCTTGCTGTTGTAAACACTGGGCAGACTTCTTATTGGCTTCTGTTATAAAAGTGGTCTGTGTTCACTGGAGGGCAAAGTGATTCCTGCCTTTATAATCCCATGTCTGATTGTGGTTTGGGCTGGTTTGGGTGAAGTTGTAAGATCAAGTTGGACTTTATCTCAGTAATCACCTCCTGTAGAAGTACAGCTGGTATTAATAATTAAGGGAACCTTCTTATTCACTGATGGTACAAAGCGCAGGATGAGTAACAAAGCACAAGATGAGTAACACTTCTGGTTAGCACCTTAGCTACAATTTCAATGTACTGAACTTAAGATCCATGTGAGAAATAGATGACATTAGCTGCCATTCATTTCATCTTGCTACACTTTAAAAACAGGAAATTGAGCCGTGTTTATCCCATCTCAATAAATTAACAGAAACCATATGGCATTCAAATCCCTAAGTACAGGATATGCTGAGAGATTTTTGACATAAAAGTACAAAATTTAGAATCCACCCCAGAGTATGGCTGTATTATAGATATGTGTAAGTGTGTGTGTGTGTGTGTGTGTGTGTGTGTTAGTCCAGATTTTGACTTCAAGGTTAGTTTTGAGCTTTTTCTAACAGTCTCATTGTCAGAATTAACTAAACATGAAGAAGCAATTTTCAGTTTGGCAATAAGCTGTTTCTTAAATATATTTCAAATTGGAATGATTAGCTTACAAATGAAACAAAAAGAAGAAATGGAGAAAAGAGAATAAGAATGTTTCTGTTCCTAAGAGGCAGTCAGAAACATTAAGGAGACTAATCAAGGGAGTTATTTAGTGTACACAAGTGAGAGTTGGAGGAGGCTTCCAGAAGCTGCATGCATTCATAGGAGGTGGTGAAACTGAGTTATTAGTGGTAAAAGGCAGAAGTCAAGACAAAAAAGGAACATGGCAAACATATAATCCTCCCCCCCCTCCCACACACACACAAAGAATGTGAGAAAGCATATGGGTGGGAAAAATTGTTCGCTCAGACAAAAGTTGTTTGGTCACCTATATTAGTGAGTTTGGTCAAAGAGCCTTGACATCAACAGAGATGTGTTGTGATACCCTGCCACGGAGATATTAAATGTTTGTAATCTACAGAAATGTCTACCTTTTCCTTGTGGATATTTATAGCACTGGCAGCATAAGATGCAGAATCATCACCCCAAAAAGATGTCCACCTCCTATACCCTAGAACCTAAAAAATGTTATCTTACATGGCAAAAGGGACTTTGAATATGTGATTAAGGTTTGAACTTTAAGATGATGAGGTTAACCTGAATTGTCCAGGTGTGTCCAGTTTAATCACATCATTAGAGGACCTTCTCGAAGTGAGTTACAGAGAAGAGAGGAAATAAGGTGGAGAGAACCAAAGTTTAAGATAGGCTCAACCCAGTGTTGCTGGCCTTGAGGATGGAGGAAAGGGCCCCCTGAGTCAAAGACATGGACAATCTCAGGAAACTGGAAATGGCCCTCACTTGAGAGCCAGGCAAGGAAATGGGCCTCTCTGTCCTATAGCCATAAGAAACTAAATTCTGCCAACAGAAAGACACAGAAGGGAAGCAGTCATGACCCATCCACAGAGGCACAAGTCTATTGATAACTATTAGGAATGTCTCCAAAAATTGGGCTTCCTCATAATCCAGAATTAATCCTTGTCTCAGAGGAGATAGCCCCCTGATAAACTTGGCTTCAACGTCCTTTTGAGTATTTGACCAGTTGCATAGTTGTTCTATGGCCCAAACAGACATTTGCCCTGTTAAGTGAATAAAAGGGAAATGCCATGGTTATTCTAGTTGGTTTCTAATCTTTCTTCTCTTTTTTTGTTTTGTCAAATAGAGCAGATAAGGCATGCGAAATTGTAGCCTTGAATTGCTGTCTTTTCCCAATCAGAAGTTACCCTATCAGCTTACCAGTGGGGAGAAAGACTAAAAAAGCTCCTCCTAAAGTTTTACTTCCTCATTTGGGTCTTGTGTGACTGATATCTATATGTAAAGGGTCCTAGCACCTAACAGTTTTTACAACTTGCCTTTCTCTGCAAACCCAGGAGAGTTCTGAGCTCTCTCAGGAATGGTTTCTTAAAAGGGCAAGTGTTTTTCCCAAAATAAATTATTTAAACAGAAACTTTCTTGGGAAAAAACAAAAAGTTGATGATATCATCACACCTGCCCTTCAAAATGCTAATTTTATACTCAAATTCAACCTGCCTTTTCACTATCTGCCTTCATTTGAAAGCAAAAAAATTTTTTTAGTGGTGATGATTTTGTTATAAGTATAAAAAGATGACTTAATGACTCTGTTTTGGTCTACAGACATCTGAAATATTCAGCTATAACCATCATTATTGTTATAGTATATATTCTGTATTCTTATTATTTTCTGTATTCCCCTTTTATTTTTTATCTTTGTAATTTTTTTTTAAATAGAGGCATGTTTTTTATTTTATTTATTTATTTGTTTGTTTTTGTTTTTGTTTATACATGCACTGGGTACAGTCAGAAGCGCGGGAGGGTGAGAGAATTCACCAGAGCCAGAGCAGGGAGCAGAGCAGGCAGAAGGACCGAAGTATACTGCTGAGGGGAGCAGCGGGCGGCAGGAGAGGTCTGCGCGCCATGTGGGACCCTCCTCGGGTGGCCGGGGAGCAGCCGGGGATCAAACAAGCGCCGCAGAGGCCGCGGGCAGCTTCGCAACCCAGCGCTCAACCGCTGCGCCACCAGGGAGGCCCTATCTTTGTAATTTTTTAATATTGCTTTTTACTAAAATTTAGAATCTGGTCAAGTAAGATACCAAAATGATGGCATCTTCTATTTTTCCCTACCACCACCCCTTGTACTCCTTTAACCCTTCTCCAACCCCTGCCCGCCCCACCTCTTGACCTCAGGAAGCTCCCTTCAATTATCAATGTCCACTAAGTTTATTGTGGTGGTGTTTTTTACTGAGGTAACTTTGGTTTACAACCCAGTACGTGATTCACGTGAATAGATGCACTCCTCAGATGTATATCCCCACACCCACCACCACCAAGGCACCTGCTCTCTTTATCATTGACTATTGGCCCTCTCTCTCTTTGTTTCCACCCCTGACCTCACTTTCCAGTAGCCTTTATCCTGCAGCCATATTTCTAGAGTGTTTTAATTTTGTCAGTTTCTTTGTTGTTGTTGTTTTCTTTGTATAGCATTATTTGCTCAGTGCATTTGCCTTGTTGCCTTGTTTCCTTATACAGATCATACATGTGAAAATGCTCCATTATTTGTCTTTATCTTTCTGGCTTTCTTTGCTTTGAATAGTATGCTCAGGTTACTTCCATTTTGCTGTACATATTCATCTATACTTATTTATATATTTAAGCATCATTATTTTTAAAAGGATCTTTGACAAAAATGGAACCTAACCAGCTTTATGAAGTATCTGGAAACTTAGTCAAATAAAAAATAGCTCAAGAAATTAAGGATGACTAGCCAGGAAAAAAAAAAAATTAAAAAACCTTGGACACAAGTAAGGCCTTTAAACACCTGAAGAGTTGCCATAGGTTACAAAGATTGTTCTTAACTGTCTGTAAAGGGCATCTCAATGGAGAAAGGTAATAAGGTGTGCGGCAAAAAGAGAGACTTCTAAGCAATTAAAGCTCTTTGAAATTTATACTGAAGACTCTGACTTCTCCTTCTTCTTATGAAGGATAAACTGCTCCAGGAATTGCACTCCTGCTATAAACAACTAGAAATCAGACAAACTATCTGAAACAACCATTTTCAGACAGAAAACTTTAGCCTGAAGAAAGAGAGAAGATGAGGCACATCCTAGAATTGCCCCTCAACTTGCTGAAGTCAGTTTTCAGGCTATTCTGAAGGCAGGGGGAGCTCTGATATCAAAACTAAAAAAAGATACTACAAGAAAAAAAAAAGATATTACAAGAACAGAAAATCACAAACATCCCTTCTGAACATAGACACTAAAGTCCTTAACAAAATTTAGCAACTAAAATCTAGTAATATATTGAAAATATGACACATCATGATCAAGTAGGGTTTATTCCAAGAATACAAGGTAGGTTCAACATTCTAAATTTTGAAAATTCACCATGTTGCCAGACTGGAAAGGAAATGTTATATATATATATGTTATATATATATATATATATATATATGATAAAAGATTTATATCCAGAATATATAGTTATATATTACTACTCAATAATAAGAAGACAATCCATTTAACAAAATAAAGGAAGTGAAAGAATGGAACAGATACTTCACAGAAGAACAAATACAAATGGTCAGTAAGCATAGTCACACAGTCACACAAATTAGCCTTTAGGGAACTATAAATTAAAACTATAAAGAGATACCATTAAACCCACAAGAAGTGCTAAAATTAAAAGAATCAATGAATACCAACTATTGGAGAGGGATTGAAACAACTGAAATTCTATACAACAGAGCAATCCTAGATATTTACCCAAGAGAAATAAAGGCATGTCAAAACAAAGATGCACACACACACACACACGCACACACACACGGTCTTCATAAGACCAAAAGCCTGGCTTCCAGACTTTTCATCAATTGATGAGTGAATAAGTGGTGATATATTCACATAATGAAACACTGTTGGCTATACGAAAGAACAGACTGATGGTAACACGCTACGACACTGATGAATTTCAAAAGCATTATGTCAGGAACCAAGAGTCTATCTCTTCATGGTGCTATTTACATAAATTCTAGAAATAGCAAAGCTTTTGTGACAATAAGCAGACAGATCACTGATTACTAAGCAATGGGGCAGGAGAAAATGGGTTGACTGTAAAGGAGCAGGAGGGAATTTTTTGAATTTGTATAAATATTCTATATCTTGATTATGGTGATAATTACATGACTGCATATATTTGTTAAATTTACCAAAGTATTTACTGAAAATGGTTAGATTCTATTGTGTATTATTTACCTCAATAAAGCTGATTATTTACACACACGCACACACACACACACACACACACAAACTGCTGGTGATAGGATGTGCTCAAACCCATCAGTGGTGCTTTAAGGATTCCTGCAGCCCCTAAATTCTTCCAGATTAACAACCCAATTCTGCACCTCTAAGTGGGACAATAGCACCTTCACAACATTCACCTAGAATTTACACCCCAAGTTGCATCACTAGTAAGTCCATACCAATAGCTATTCAAGCTTTAGGAGACCTAGTCAGCTAGAGATTGCTCACGCTTAGGCCCATTCTTGTAACACTGTGTAATATTTGGCAGTGTCAGCTGGCTAATCCACTTTGGAATTACATCTTCAAGATTCCCTTTTCCTCTTTCAAAACCTTACTTTCGAAAGGATTGCAAACTCTTTTTCAATCATTAATGATTGCTCAATTAAATCAGTTACCCCTCCCAGTAGTATTTTTATTTTAGCAAAGAATAGAACTATAAGTGGAAAACCTATTTCCAATATTAGAACTTAAGGTACAGTGAGCGAGGGCAGGTTATTTACTTTAGGGATGCAAGGAGCTCCTTTGCCATCTCCCGGAAGTTGCATCATTTAGGTAACCACATATAAGGTTACAGTAATTACTCTCTGAGTCCTAGGACTTCAGATCTTCCCCAAACTTTCCCTCATTTAGTATCTATGACCAATACCTTAACTGGGCTTGTTTTTCTTCTCTTCAGCAGCCATTCGAATGGAAGAGGGAGAGCGTGGGCGGCTCAAAGATAGGTGAGTCCTGACCCTAAACAGCTATGCCACCCAGAAGGTCTATAACTTACATTCGCTTGTGCCTGAGCCATGCTGAAACCAAACAAACACAAGCTAATGGAGAGGGAGAATAAAGTGAGACTGATTAGGACCTGGAAGGAAATGTCCTAGTTATAAATGGATGGCAAGATATCCAGCACATAGTTACCAAGGGCATGGCAAGTTCAGTCATGGTCAAGTGAAAAAATAAGTATCAAAGGGGCCTGACATGGTGAACATGGATTTATTCATCATAGAAACCCAGAAGCTAGCACGGTGCCTGGGCTAGACACATTATGAAGTGAATAAATGAATAGGTGAGTGACTAAATGAATAAGTGAATCAGTATCTTTGTATCTGCTATGCCTTTTGCTTGGAATGTTCTTCTGCCACAATCCATTTAACAAAATAAAGGAAGCAAAAGAATGGAACAGATACTTCACAGAAGAACAAATACAAATGGTTAGTAAGCATAGTCACAAAGTCACATAAATTAGCCTTTAGGGAACTATAAATTAAAACTATAAAGAGATACCATTAAACCCACAAGAAGTGCTAAAATTAAAAGAACTGATGAATACCAACTATTGGAGAGGGATTGAAACAACTGAAATTCTCATGCTATACAACAGAGCAATCCTAGATATTTACCCAAGAGAAATAAAAGCATGTCAATACAAAGACACAAACTTCACTTCATTTTTCATCTCTTGATCCCAGCACCACTCTATTAAAACCCTTCCCAAACTAGATTATGTCAGACTACTATAGCATCACGTGGCTCCCTATATTTTTTCTTCATAACATAAGACTATATACATGTATAATTATATTATTAAGCACTATTAAACTAAACTATAGAGGAAGGACCATATAACTTCGACTTATCTTTGTGATGTTAGCACCTAGTCTGGCATATAGGAGGTGCTCAATAAATGTGTTGAAAGAGTAAAGGTATGCATGAGGCATGCACAAAGACTGCTGGTAGCCTGTTCTTTCACAACATGGTACACTCAGACTGTCTATACCTCTGTCCCCCTGAGGAACTGGTCTCTCAGTTATCAAGGCTCCAAATAGTTGTGGCCCCAAGGCAACTCTCAGTGAAAAGCCTAGTCACAGAGACCCCAGAGTGCCCCACACTTACCAGGACACACCAGCTACTATGAATCTAGACATCCTGGAAGGTAAGCCAGGGCTCTGAGATGTTGCCTGTCCTATCAGGCCTGGCTCAGAAATCATTCAGATGAGCCTACAAAGGGAATGTGACAGGTAATCAGCACAGGGCAGGGACAGGCCTAGACAAAACTGAAGGACAATACAGATACTGAACACTTCTCAACCTTGCTTTTCAATAGTTTGTTTCCTCTCCTTGCTATTGCAGTGGCCCTCCATGTTCTGCCCTGTCACAGATATCTAGAAATGAAAGTAACTCTACTGTAAAATCTCACTCAATTCTTTTTTGTTCTATCTTTCCAGGGTAAAATACCATGTACCTGAAAGTTCTGATGAAGCTCATTGTGTTGTTAACACTCAGAAGACAGCCACAGATGACAAAAGTGCTACACATTTTTAATTAAAGAGTAAAGTCTATATGACAGTCTATTTCTTATACACTTTTCCTTTCTTTTTTCTTATGTCTCTAAACCTTCTAGAAGGCAAGAAAATATTACCATCAGTAATGGTGGGGGCTCCAGGGTTCCTCCAAATGAAATAGCCTTCCTCTAATACCAGCTCTGTTCCCCATGCCAAAAGAAGATTTTATCTACTTCTTTTCATGTCAGAGCACATTTGTGGGCCAAATCCATCTGCCTTATTCCTGGCTTGGGAATAGTGTTGAGGACTAACACTTGTTTCAGATTCAGACTGTTAAGTTTGTAAACTGTGTTTTATGCAGAATTCCCAACTCCTGGAGTAGTGACTTTTACACCCTCTGAACTGTGAGGTAGAGCCCCCTCCGATCAGACATAATTGGGAATGCACAACTCCTGACCTTCGATCTGAGTGGGAGTTACATATTTATATAACTGGCTTTGTAGTGTTACATTGGCTTTGTGGTGTTATGCAGAGTATTTTACACTTGCTTTGCAGTATTAATATTAATGTCTTAACATATAGAGAAAAGTGTACAATAATAATGTAATTACTATGCGCTGAGAAAATTCCAACATCTGCTAAGAACTCCTTTTCCCTTTTCCCACTTTGAGGGTCAGTAAAGTAAGTGGTGTTTTGTGTCCTAACAACAAAGGGCAGACTAACTTAAAATCTGGGAAATTAAGAGAGAAGTGGTAGCAGCTCTGGGTCCGCACCCCATTTCTTTCTGGGCTCTTGCTAATATTCAGGAGGATCAACCTGCCTAACAAGCCTTAGCAGAGAGCACTGTGCATCATGAGTCTACTTCTCTGCTTGTAAAAAGTCACTGAAGAGCAGGCCTGGTCCTGTGTGAGAGCCAATAGAAAGGTTACAATACTCCAAAGAGGAAAAAAAAGATCTTGACAGTAAAGATGCACCTTGCTGGCCATCTGTCCATTCCTTTGCCAAGCTTTGGGACAAGCCACAGATGAACAGCCTGTCCAAACGGAGTTAAGAAAATTGCAGTGTCCCCCATTGATTGGTGAGGAGTTTTGATGATTATAAATTGATGATATGTAAGTTATTGTGATGTTTCATCTGGCTAGAGGCAGAATTGGAAAGAGAGAGCTATTATCTTGTTAATGGGATGCATGGAAGTAGCCTTAGAATCCTTTCAACTAGTGGCTGAGAGAAAAAGAGCGGGAATGAAATTCAGAGGACCTGGAAGTGAATCAGGCAGAGGCTGATTTAGCCTACAGATGTCTGAAGAAGATATAGGCTGATCCAAAGTAAGGTTGACGAACTTGTATCTAAGGACTATCTATGTGCCATTCTCAACTCTGAGAGATCTGAGCACCAAAGAGGAATATCTGAGCCCAGTGGAAGTGAATTAGCAGAGCACAGCTCGAAGGCAGCATCTCTAAGGAATGGAGCGCTCTGTCCAAACTGAAAGAGAAGTGTGGGAGACCCAAACTAAGAAATAGTTCTGATTCTAGGTAACGGCCCTCGAAGGTTGTAGATGGCTGTGCAAGCTAAGCTCATCCCTGCAATATTACCATTTGTCTGCTGGGTCCTCCCCCTGCCTTCATTAGGCAGCATTTGCTGGTTCCTAACATGTTTTGTACAGAGTAATTCTCAGTCAATTTTTGTTAAATTGATTCAAGTCTCCATTTTCTGTTTCTGCTTCTACAGTTTCTGTTTCTAGTTTTACTCTTCACCCCTTGTAGTCTGATGTTACTCCCCACTGTCCTTGTAGCTCACTTCCTTCTTCTCAATATGTCTCTGGCAGCCCCATTCTCTAGCCACCCTGGCCAGAGGCCTATGATTCATCCCAAGCCCTTTCCCTTCCTTTCCTCTAACCATTGCACAAGAAAGGGGGGCATTCTTACAGAGGTTGGTCTCAGTAGTGAGACATTTTTAAAAATCGAGTAAGAGAGGTATTTCTGGAGACAACTGGGAAATTTGGAGTTAAGGAGGGGATACCTGCTTTTCAGTTTGTAACGTTTTATATTGTGCAATTTTAAAAGTATGTACTTATATGTTTATTAAACAAAAACTTATGTAAAAATATTCCTTGAAAATAGCTTCATTATAAAACTAATGCATGTAACTATATTGTATATTTGAAAGTTGCTAAGAATAGAAAAGTTCTTATTACAGAAAAAAAAATTGTAACTATGTATGGTGATAGATATTAACTAAACTTATCATGATAATCATTTCATAATATACATATATATCAAATCATTATGTTGTACATTTAAAATAAATACAATGTTACATGTCAGTTATTTCTAAGTAAAATATATATATGTCATATAAGAAGAACCCGGGCAGTTCTAGGGGGAAAAAACTGCCCAGGCTCTGTGAGAGCAAGGATGGCTAACTTCTTCACCAGTGGATCCCAGGCACCTAAGATAGTACCTCAAAACTATCTAATTTGGTATGAAGATTTCTCAAAATAATGAAAATAGATCTCCGTATGACCCAGCAATTACACTCCTAAGTATCTACCCAAAGAATGCAAAAAACACTAATTTGAGGGATATATGTGCTCCAACATTCAAAGCAGCACTGTTTACAACAGCCAAGTCATGGAAACAGTTCTAGTGCCCAAGGACATTAAGCGTGGATTAGAAAAACTGTGTGTATGCACAATAGAATACTACTCAACTATATTAAAAAAAAAAAAAAAGAACTCTTGTCATTTGCAACAGCATGGATGTAACTAAAAAGGATTAAGCAAGATAAATCAGATGGAAAAGACAAATAGCAGATGGTTTCACTTATATATGGAATATAGAGAAAAAAGGGTCAAGAGAAAAAACACTTAATAAGAAACCCTTGATGTCTGACTGCAAAACTGAGACAACCAGAAGGGAGGAGGGGAGTGAGGAGGTCCAATGAACCTTTGTTAGTGGGCATGGTGTGAAAACATACATTAGTAGAGATTTGAACCTGTAACTCCTAAAACAAATAGAACATTGTAAACCAACATTACATCAATAAACATAATTGGGAAAGAAACTTGTTTAAAGATTAAATATAAAATTAATAAACCCTCTGGTGAAAACATCCCTCCTGTGTATATTAAATTCTCCCACAATTCTGTGTTTCAAGTTTGGGAGAAAGCAAACCAAGAAAAGTTAAGGAAAGGTCACTAGGTATAACAACAGTACTAATTACTGCTGTAATTTTGTTTTTACTTTGTCCAAGGCACTCGTCTAAACCTTTCAACTCAATATCTTATTTAGTCCCTGTCAGGTAGGGTAAGGGATAACATGCCCATTTTGCTGATGAGGAAACCTAGTCACAATGAAGTTAAAGCAATTTACCGAAGGTCACTAACTCATAAAGTGGCTGTTCTGCCACTTTATGAAACATCACCCTCTCTACCACTTTATCTCCTGCTGTGTGTTTTCTGGCCACAGAAGAGAAAGCATTTTGGCTGGCAGTAGGTTGAGGGCTTACACTACCTGTTGCACTACCTCAGCCCTCTGGTGCCTCCAGAAGTCCCATCAATGAGTTTTCCATTGTCCATGAAAGACCAAAAACTGTGGATTCCTTCTCCACCAAGAAGCATGATTCTAGCTATAAAAAAAACTCCAGGTTTCCCAGAGGTGACTTCAAGGCATCAGATAAGCAGTGCTATTATTTTGTGCATGGCCTTAATCCTAAACCTCTTAGTCTGGGCAGTTTCATGCTCTACATTTGCCTTCTCCAAATCATCCAGACTTTGGCTTTCTACCACGTGGTTTTCTTCTGTCCTTGCCACACCACTTAGAAATGACAATCAGCTCTCATTCCAAAGTTCAATCTTCAGTTTCCCACTCTAAGTATGACTTGGATTATCTCCCTAAAAAAGCTGCCTCTGGTCATCCAGAATAATCACTGCCTTATCCATCTCAGTTTCAGAACCCATTATTTCAGAGCATTCACACCAGACTGGCTCTGCCCAGCCAACAGGTAGTAGAATTACAGAGTACGTGGCTCTGCACAAGAGGTAAAGGTGTGCCCAGTGCTTACCCCTCAATTTTAGTAGACATCCTTATTAACTAAATTAAAGCTTCTCATTTCTTGGAATCATATAATTTTAGAACTTACAAGAAGTAAAATAGTCTGTGGCCTTCATGGCAGGTGGAGGCTGGATACCACAGGAATTGGGGGACAGAATCTGGAGAGATGGGAAATAGAAAGTGACAACTCATTTACAGATAGTGGGTGGAAGCAGGGCTAAAGTAGGTTAAGACAGGGAAGATGTTCTTTTACAGCAACATTTTTGAATCTTGCTACACATTAGGTTGCCAACACATAACAAAACACCTCAAATTATGCAGGCATTTATCTCTGTTCCTTAAAAAATATCTTTCTGCAAACAGTGTATAAACAAACATTAAGAATGAAGGAAAAAGAAAGGATATCAGATTCAGTAATTTTTCACATCTTATAAAGAGGCACATAATATTTCTCCTTTCTCTAATTATTTTCTATCAACCTACACTTTATTATAGTGATAAATAAATTTTTTATTGGATGAGGAAAGGAGAATATATTTTAGTATTTGTAGGACCTTCTATGTATGTGTATACACACACACACACACACACAAACACACACACACATATATATAATCATATATCATTGTTTCCAAGATTAAATGCTGTGAACACATGGGTTTTTTAATACACAGAATACAGAGGAAAAGTCACCATATTATCCTCAGAGCTCATTGTGAAATGAAAGAAATGTAGAAAACATCCAAAAAAGTCCTTCAATTTTTTTCGTATGGCAAAGATAGAGAATAGAGTGATTCACCAAACATCAAGAAAAACCACAACCAGGACTCAGGTTCCCAATCTTCATGTCACGGTGCTTTCCATCTTACCAAGCCCTTCTGCACTTGTTAGTTAGAAGAGCTGGGAAAAGGGCATTAACAAAGTCTAATACAGTAAGAGCATAGATGCTGTGTCAGGTGACCTGACACTGCTATTGTTGGCATGTAACCTTGGAAAAATTACCTGGTATCTCTGATTCTCACTTTTATTATGTGTAAAATAGAATTAATCATGTCTACCCAACTCATGGGATCAAGGAATAATCAAAGATTCAAAAGATATGAGAATTATATAATTAGAGAAGAGAGGAGAGGAAGGAGGACGAAAAGCCCAGCAAACAAGTAATTGAGTAGCTTGTTACAGCAGGGTGGGCTGGGGGTGGTGAGTGAGAACTAGTAGTGGGAGAAGAGTAATGGTTACCCTCACGGAATAATAGTGGTGGGGATTTGTAGTGGCAGGACAGGCCACTCAGCAAGTTTTCTATGATTCAAGCAGACCAGGCAGGTAAAGCAGGAGTCCTGGAGCCCTCGGTGGCTTTCTCAGGCTTTTATTGAGCTTTATATGTAGTGAGCTTTATATCTGGGCTTGTCTGGCATTCTTTTTTCCCTCCTCTCTCTCTCCTGCCTCTTCTGCTTCTCTTAGTGAATATCTCAACACTCCTCCCATGGCCCACAGAAGTAAACAACACAACAGTGTAACAGCTGCAGGTGCCCCGTAAGGCAGGGCAACCCTAAAGGTGAGAGGGCAGAAAAGCCTGAAAACCATTTACCCTACAGGATTCTTTCATTTAACATTCAACCCAGAAGTCCCTTCATATAATTCTTACAGCCAGAAATGTTCCCACATATCTTCCTGTATCAGTCTCACTCGACCATATTGCTCTCTCAGCATCTCAATGCAGAGACTAAGATGATTCATGAGGTCATCCTTACTGTCTGAAACCAAAGCCATCTTTATAAGACTTCCTTTATAAGACTTCCCTTTGCTGAGATTATTTTGAGACATTCAATAATATCTACTTCTTTGCCAAGGTGGCAGAGAGCGCTGTCTTTACATAATATGAAGTTCTTAGCAGTCAAACTCAAAGCAAAAAGGTCTCGTAAGGGCCAAGAGTCTCAGTCAAGATAGTCAGAAACCTCTTCCTAGAGGGCAATCTCAAAGGATGGTTTGTTGTAAATTGGAGGCAGGAAAACCAGTTAGGAAACTGGCATAGTTAGCTCCTACAAGTTTGGCATTTCTGAGGAGCTGAACTAGGAGAAGTCTCCTGAAATTTTCTAGAGTGCATCCTGGTACCTGGACACATCAATCCAGGGCCATTGGCAATAGACCCCATTTACAGAAACAGACCCAAGTGACAGGAAATGGAAACTTAAGGGAGCTGCATTAGGAGACATGGATCACAGGAGTTCTCTGCACTCAATCAGAAGGAGGAAAGAAATCCTAAAACATGATGCTGGAAAAGTGTAATGATCGAGGCACAGCTAACAGACTGATAATAGTATGCAAATCGGTCTATGATTGTCATTAGGGTGAAGAGATCTTTTTCTATATCATAGACCCAGCATAGAGTCAGAGCAAAGGTTTACTTTGCTCAGAGAAGGGGTCAGAGACACAGAACAGGAAGTAGATCACTGGCTGCAAAATAATTAAAACTTTCTTAAATTCATATTTACAAACCAGAGCATAAATCTGAAGTGTATTATTAGAACATGCCAGAGTATGGTTGCCAGTTCTACTGATAACACAAACTAGTTACATGCTGTTTCAGCCAGTTCACCTGCTACTTTTTAACTGCACATAAAGTATTTGCCCTAAGGCTTCAGGCTTCACAACTTCTGTAAGAACAGTTGCACTGTGCCCACTTGGTGAGAAAACATCAAGTTCATCCTGTTAAAATTATTTTAAAAAACTAATCCAAACAATTAAATCGGTCCTTTCATACATTTTATCTTCCATTTTTTTAATTTATTTGTTAAACACTCTTGGAGTCACAGTCTCAGAATTATACTGGAGACTGTCAATTTTAAGCAAGAGGGGAAAAAAAGGAGTGTTTCTTTTAATGTTAAAATAATCATGCTCTGTATCCAAACCAGTCATGCATATTAACATGAGTGAATATCCCCAGGGTTTAAAGAGTCTTGACTGGGGGAAAAATATATTCTAGCAAGACTTAAAGAAACAAGATGGCAGATCAATGAAAATTTCAAGAACTTTTATTCTCCTGGAGCAATTGCTTTATTCAGAACTTAGCAGAAGTGATTTGCTGCAGGAAATATAGGTAAGATAAAAAGAAAAGTCTGCATCAAGGTGTTAGGCATTGG